CGGCACCGGGCATCGGGCCTTGCCAATAAAAATCGGTCGGAAATCGATTTGGACGGGCATTAGCGGACACGACGCGACGCTGCACCGACACCGGACTCCGATGCACGCAGTAATTCGCTGCTCATTAAAAGATGCATCTGGTGCTCGCTCGCTTACGCGCCGCATCGCGTCTTCACGCTTTCGACGGGTCTCGGATTCCAAGCCGCCAGGGACCGGTTTATGCAGGAATTTCCGCGGGAAAACCGCGTCAATCCGCCATTGGGCTTTCGAAAGAAGACATAGGTGCAATAGACTGCTCTGCTACGGAAAACACCGTATGAGCCTTCAGACGTTGCCATATTTCCCTCAATAAAGATTACACTCGCTGGGGAAATTGTGAATATTTTTCATCAAAATTTTCAGACAATCTTGTCTTCAATTTAGTCTAAAATATCTGAAAATTTCAAGGAAAAATATTCTTAACTTTCCTTAAAGATACTGGTTTTATCCGGGGTGATTCTGCAACCCTCGAATTTTCACAAGGCGTTCTTCCTTAGCACGGCAGAATAGTTCAAGACTGGCAACATATCGATACCTAGACGCGAAAAATGCATTATCCACCTGTTGCCAAAAGGCTACAGGAGGGTCTGCATATGACTCAGGGTTGTGGGATAAGGCATTAAGGCACGGACAAAATCTTTTAGAGGCCCCCTCACTAGCATGAAGAAAACGTTTCCCCGAGGTTCAACACATCCCGCAAGAAGTAGGGCTGCTACTTCATGCCACACTTTTAATGGGGTTTTCAAAAGATGCAACTATTCGGCCTCAGAGGCCACGCTAGGAAGTATCTGTTCACAATGAAGGCGTTTCTTATGCGTCGTCACTCTCATCAAAGAATCATCCCCTGACCGCTTCGCAGTTCATCCCCCGAAGTGCTTCACGTCTCAGGCGTCATACGTTACGCTTTACCCTTCATGATTTTAGACGGTGAAACATCCAAACCACGTATCTCTTTTGTGGTGTTTAAAAATCTCAGCTCCCTTTTTTTGAAGGAGAGCAAATCAACACCACTCCTTGAAATATGTCCACTATTTGCTACGTACAGAGAAGAAAAATCACTGTTGAGTGGTTCTTCATTTAAAAAATTAAATATGACAGGAAGTCTACGGAGATACGTGGTTCAGAAATTTCACCATCGTTTTATATTATAGAGTATGATAGAGTATGCTACCGACACTGAGTCTGATGGAGACCCTTAGGATAAAAAAGTGACAGCGACTATTGATGAGAGCGGATAAGAGGGGTTCGTTGCCGACCCTTAATGTTTAGCACCTGCTGCACCTGTTGCCACGCTCATAAAGGGGAGAGTGGCAAATCCCTTGACCGCAGGCTACCCGTTGAAATTAATAGATGAAGCTATAGATAAAGAAGACAAAAGGGATATGGGGGGACGGATGGGGATCCTGTTGGTCGAGGTGGGTGGTTGCAAAATGGAAAACGGAGGTAGGCAATTGACTGTCTAACGGCATCCCAGAAGAGACCCAATAGTAAGTCCATAATTTTGTCAGTCTATAAAAACCACCCAGTTCAACCGAAAAGATTACTCCGTGCTCGTGCTCCGTATGTCTATTTTGTCTATCGCTTTGTTTTCGCTTTATTATATCAATTTCAACTATCAGCCCTCTGCTCCCTTCTCCCTGCTTTAGGGGGACGATCGACTCTATAAGCATAATCTGTCTTGCTAAGGAAGAACGCCGTATAAGCCTCCAGACGTTGTCATATTTCCTTCAAGAAAAACCGAATTTACTGAAACAAATGTGAATATTTTTCCTCAAAATTCTCAGTCAATTTTCTTAACGATTTCATGTAAAATATCTGAAAATTTCACCGAAAAATATGCATAACTTTCCTCAAAAAGCCATGTTTTACCCGAGAAAATTTGACAACTCTCAAATGGATTGCATTTTGCAAAAAGGAACCAAGATGATTCCAATGTTGCCAAGATTGTGCAACTTACAATCTTTGTAATGAAATCACTGACGTTATGCAAAAAGTTAAATTTCCGGAGGTAATTTTCGTCTTGAATTTATAGTTTATTGGGAGTAAAGATGAATTTTAATTAGATGGTCAGTCTATAGTTGCAAGGTTCAAAAGTTGCACAATCTTAGCGACATCGGAATTCTTGTGGTTCCTTTTTGCAAAGTGGAATCCAAATGTTCATACGGCGTTTTTCCTTAGCACGGCAGTAATCCAGCACTGTAGATCCGTTTGAATGTCCACATGATTTTTCCTCACTCTTACAGATCCCCGGAAAAAGAGTCCCCGTCGGCGCGCCGACTTGGCACGACCGGGTCGTGTCGGGAGGCAATAGAGATGCTACGACTACCGTGTAACGACCCGTTCATCCGACTGGAAACCCGAGCCATTGTCTCCGCGATTCCGCGTCTTCGCGTCCTCGCTAATTAGTCAATCGATTGTCTCCCGTTTTTCCCGCCCCCCCCCTGCCACCCGTCCCCCATCTATGACGCGGGCTCCCGCAACGCGATCATCAGCCATCAGCGCCGCCACTCATCAGCCTCACCGGTCACCGGTTCATCAGACCCGCGACTCGTGTTGCTCGTGACTCATCCGTCTTAGCGCTACCTCAGACCGTCATCAGCCGAACCGTCCACGGATTAGGACTGACACAACTGCCAGCCTAAGAAAGAACGACGTGAAAATTGATGGTTGCCAAATTTTCTTCGATAAAAAAATTGACTTTAAGAATAGCTGAGCAAATTTTTTCTTGGAAATTTCAGCCACACTAGACTAAATCGCGAAGAAAATTCTCTGAAAAACTTAGGAAAAAATGCGTTCCAGAGGGAATTTCAAACAGAAGAACGACCGGCTATGCGTAAGGTATTAAATGGCAATACACTCTGCCGTCAAAGGTGTTATTCGTCTAACGGCAAAGAGGTTAGGATCTCAAAGGCACAAATCCCAGGGCCGGATTAAGGGGGTGGCCACGTGGACCGCGGCCCATGGCGGCAAATTTTGAAATTTTTTAAATGTAGGTATAGAAAATTCGAATTTAGAAAAAAAAATTACAAACGAGAAAAGGCGACAAAATCTCTAATTTTCTGAGAGTATAGTGATTTCTACTTTTGTCGTCTTTCAGTGATACAAGAGATAGCACCTTTAATTAGTCGAGTTAAGAGAGAAACCAAACACGCGATTTGGCCTGGAACGGCGCGACTTATTGTTAGAGAGAAACGATGACGAGGACTTGAGATGAAAAGGAGAAGCCCTCGGCGCGGCGATTGGCATGTAACACATATTAGTCCCTACATGACTGCACAAATACTTCACGCATTGCGGCAAACACAGTGCGATCAGCGTGAAACGCATAGCGCCTACAAGACTGCGTGAATACTTCACGCGTTGCGTCAAACTGTGCGTTCAGCAGCGCTCGGTCGGCGAGAAACTCATAGCGCCTACAAGACTGTTGGAATACTTCACGCATTGTGCCAAACATGGCGCGGTCTCCGCGGCGCGGCGGCGGAAGTTAAAATCATTAATCCACATTTATGTTTGTACTTTCATAATTTTTTCGTTCATTTCTTATGAATCGAAGGCCTTGTCCACACAGAAATAGGTTTACGAGACTTAACATTCGCGCAAGGTTCCGTGAACTTTTGCTAGTAGTGTTGACAGGGCTTCCCCAAAAAATGTGTTCAACACAAGTAAACGCGTCTTATGCACCCTTCCCCCGCTGGCACGTTCATTTGATGGTTTTTATTGATGTCTCAAAATGAAAATCAGACCAAATATTGAGAATATTTTCAAAAAATAAGCCAACAAAGCAGAGGTATTTAGGTTCTTTTACAGAGATAAACGCAAAAGACATCTCTAGCAACACCTGATTGCACTTACTATGTTTTGAATTTCCATTCTTCATTTTGTCATCCACCTGGCACAAGGTGTAATCACACTTGACGATGAACCCTATCGCACATTTAACTCAATGCTTTCCCGGGCTCATCTCTGAGTGTAGTTACGCTCTTTTGTCAGCCAATCAACGATTTGTCCCCAGTGGTGTGTTCGCGATTCCGGGCCGTTGCGTGCATTCACGCATTCGCTGACTTTTTTCACACTTTAAGGTTCACTGGATCCGATTTCATCGATTTCTCCGGAGCGTTGAGATTTCATGGTCGCGAACCGAATGGACAAAGAAACACTGACGAACCAGCGAACGCACACAAATGGGCATGACGTGCTAAAAGTGCAGTCAAATTCTCACTCGATCACTCAACTAGTGTCAACATTTAAATGCTCAATCATAATATTATGAGACATTAATTTGGCTTCTCGAACACCTCTCCCAACAACTGTCGGTGTTGATTTTAATGATTTTATCGCGCGTATTAATCTCTTTGGAATCTGACAAATAATATGTCGTAACAAAGCGTCGCACTCATACGAAGCGGAGACTATCTCAAATTGTTTTGAGCCTTATAAATTACAGCTTAAAATTTTAAACGACTTGAATCGAAATTACACTTTTTAATGCGCTAATTTGAAACCACTATTTCTCCAGAAAAATTCAGCAATTTAGGGAGTTTTCTGGTTTAAATTTTTTTTGGAACATTCAGCTGTGCTTCAGTGATTTTTTTAAACATTTTTTTTTATTTTTTTAGCTATTTCAGGACACAAGCAGTAGAGGAGGTTGATGTGAAAGGCCTCATTGTCATTTTTTCGATGAAGTTTTTTGTACGCCTTTGAAGTTGAACTCTGTCATGTTTTTAGCATTCAAATGCTAATAGTGACAACATATACAAAATTGGAAGTAAAATTCGTGCTACATGGTGTTTTTTCGTGTTATTTCTTTTAATATAAATGTGCTCATGTTAAATAAATCGTACTGATTTGAACTTGACGATTTCACAAAAACTATACAAAATGTTTCTTCCGACGATCGGATATCTCCTAACTGTTTATGCTTCAATGGCCACACATTTGAAAAATAGCAGAAATTTACTAACCCAAAAATTTCGTAACCGTCATCGCAAGTGTAGGTAGCGAGGGTCCCCGAAGACAGCGTTCCGTTTGGGAGTGACACTTTGGCGTTCACAGGTACGGCAGGATGACCACATGTTGAGTCAGATCCCACTGGGAACAGAAATAAAGAAACATTTGATTATTATTGAGGGGTGGTTAAGGGAGTGATCAGGTATGTTTTGCAGATTGTAGCCTATCAAAACGGTCCCATCGGGTCCTATGAGGTCAGAAACAAGAGACCCTCCACTCGTATCTCGGCTATGGTGGAAGCTTTTACTTTCGGGACTTCAACAGTAAACTGTTGACTTACGTGCATGATTGATGTTTAACAACGTGTTGGCAGTTTCGTTTCGCTAACAAGCCGAATTTTGGGAAACTTGTTAGGCTCATGACGTCACTCGAAGCTCATCATCCAACATGTAAGTAGAACAACAGCCGAAAAGAGTGATGACTGTTGTTCCCTTAGGATTGTCCATAAGGAATTGTTGAATCCCCAAAAGTAAAAGGCTCCACCCGTCGCCAAGAGGCCAGTGGAGGATCTCTTGTCTCTGTATGAGGTCCACGTGGGGATTTCATAAGGACCCACTGAATTCCAACTTCTGTCGGAAGAGACCAACAGGAACCTGTGGGGCAGCCAGAGCAACCTGGGGGAACCTTGATGAGGGTCCCCAGATGATTCCCTCAGGCTTCCTCAGGACTCCAATTGCAGCTTGAGCCAAATCCTAATGGGTTCGCATGAGACTGGTGCGATATTCCCCTGTGACTGTTTTGAATAGGTGGACAAATCAACAAGGTTTTATGAATGCAAAGCAAGCAATATTCAGGCAAACATAATAGAAAGCATACCTACTCACCTACCATCTGCTTTTGATACATTTTCCTAATAAAATAAAATGAGAGACTTGGAGGACAAGACGCATAAGTGCAGTTTCTACTTTTACGACAAATACAAGTTTGAAGTTTCGAAATTACACGGATCTTTATGGCGGAGAGAAAGTTCTAACTGACTTTTTGATGCTTAAAAAGTGGAACTCGGGAGCGAATTTTTCACAAAATATGTATTAGGTTAATAGTTTTACTTGGAATCATTGTTATCTCAATTTTTTCAAAAACTGTACTTATGCACCTTGTCCTCCAAGCCCCCCCAAGTGTCTTAATAAAATTGACTGTCTGCAGGATGCCTGCGGACCTACTAAAATGTCATCAGAATCGGTGACCCCGGCGGCGTCACGATGACAATCGATGTCGAGCCCGATGAGCAGTCGTTGAACGGTGACGGGGAACCGGGGAGCAACGGCTTGATCGACTCTAATCGGAACATAATCGATTGCGCAATCGTTACCGCAAGAGCGGCGGCGAGTTTTCCGGGCGGTGACTCCGCTCTCGCGTGAGCATCGTCCAATTACCGCTCCCCGTCCCCCGGGGGAGGGGGGGGGTCTTCGTAACGCGAATCCCGGCTTCTAATCACCTACCGTTAACTAGCGTGCCGCTCTTGATACCGGCGTTTGCGACCCTGTTTGCAGCTCATAGAGGAGGGAATGATGGGTCCCGTCGCAGGATGCACAGGAGTTTCCAACATCCCGATTTATTGCCCCGTGATCTAGTTCACACGCCTACACTGCCGTGCTAAGGACAAGAGTCATATGATTCTTCAGGCGTTTCCGAATTTCCTTCGATAAAACAAGAATTTTCTAGTAAACTTAAGAATATTTTTCTTCAGATTCCTCAGGTAATTTTCATTTTCAGACACAATGCTAAAAACTACATCAAATTTTCCGCCGTTTCTTTCAGTGTCCAAAACTCGCCTTTGAGTTTCAGGAGTCGTGTGGCGCATCAAGCCCGATTTTTAGGCGCCATTGAAGATTTTTTAGGGGCGAAATTGACTTTTTGCCTATATGTTACGGCGCATTTAGTGAAAAGTTCGACGCAAGATGTTTTCGTAACAGATCTAGTAAGTAGCTGTAACTTGGGGAAGACAAAAGCACTAAGAATGAAATCGTGAAGGATAGAGGAAGCAAGCTGTCACTCGTAGTGCTGAAAATTCTGAATTTTTTCAATTCAAATAGATTTCTTTTTTTTTTTTATGTCACTTCCTGTGAAAATCCAGATTTTTAGGGGGCAATTTTTAGAGGCCACGTCGGCGCAGAGCCTTCGTCTTTTAGGCGCCATGGCAGATTTATTAGGCGCATTTGGCGCTTTGACGCCTGTGAGTTTCGAACACTGGCTTCCTTCGCCACAAACCTTTGAAATTCACTCTTCCTTTGTCATTATTTTTCATGCATGCGACGAAAACAACTGGAGGCATAGTTGATTCACGAGTTGCAACTCTCATCTTTAGGATTTCTGACTGGTCCCGAATCTTGAGTGGAGTGTTCCGCGGTTCATCTCCTCGGTTAGTACAGAGCGTGGATTTCGGTTTAGTGGTGCAGCCCGACGGTAACGGGTTCGTAGCACTCAGCGCCGACTGACACGATGATTGCGGCTTATTTTCGAGATGATCGAAACCACACGAGCACAAATAACTCAAGAGAGGGAAGCACAAAGAACCACTGCACGAATGGATGGAAGCAGCCTAATAAACGGAACCATTAAAAAGAACGCCTAATTGAAGGAATCTTCTATCCGCGGACGCCAAATTCAGCGGCGTGTGGGAAAAACTGTGCAGGAGAGCAAGGTGAAGAGCGTTTCGGGGGTTGAAATCAAGCCGGGAACCAGTGGTGCTGGCGAGGCGTTACTGATCAAACATCGATATTTTTTAGTTTGCAGATGTGGTTAAGAATCGATTACCAATGTTTTCGTTGCGAATATACAGTTTATCGATCCTTTTTTATGGATCGTATTCGATACATCATACAGGTGAGATTGTATCGATATCGATTGGTTCAACGTGTAAATATAGCCTCAAAAGTTAATTGAGTAATCTGAGGAGGGAACGGGTTTCTCGTGAGTAACTTACTCAGGTTTGGTTCGGATAGGCAACTAGACTAACTGCCCGGCAAAGCGGAGAGTATCATCCGGTTTTGAAGGCGCTCTCCGTCGAGCTCGTGCTTTCAGAGTTCTTCACGTATGACACTTTTACTACGTCTTTGCGAATCACTGAAATTCATCACTGTCGAGTTAACAAGTATTTAAGGAGAAACAACCCAACTTTATAGCTTGAAATCAATGTAGCATATCCTCCTGACATATACAAAAAATCTGGGAAATTTTACACTTTCAAGGAATTATGTTAAATAGTTATCCACGGAAAAAATAAAGTATGGCAGGAAGTCTGTAACGTTCAGTGTTCGAAACTCACCTCTGAGTTTTAGGAGCCAAGTGGCGCATCAAGCCCGATTTTTAGGCGCCATTGAGGATTTTTCAGGGGCCAAATTGACTTTTTGCCTATATATTACGGCGCATTTAGTGAAAAGTTAGATGCAAGATGTTTTCCTAACAGAACTAGTGAGTAGCTTAAACTTGGGGAAGACAAAAGCACAAAGGATGAAATCGTGAAGAATAGAAAAGGCTTACACTTGCAGTGCTGAAAATTTCGAATAATCACCTGATATGAAAATTCAGATTTTTAGGGGGCAATTTTTAAGGGCCACGTCGGCGCAGAGCCTTCATTTTTTAGGCGCCATGGCGGATTTTTCTGGCGCATTGGGCGCGTTGGCACCTGTGAGTTTCGAACACTGGTAACGCTGCGATCAGAGATACATGATTTTGCACTTAAGCCATGGATATATACCATTTATTTCCTGGGTAGATAAGTGTTTTCATCTACATGAACCTGACATTGTAGTTCCTGATCGCAAAATGCAGTCCATTCGTCAAAAGAAGATCCCGCAACATCGCTCGATTTGTGAATCAGCGTGAAGTAGTTAGCGGGGCAACGTCGATCTTGGGAGATGGACATGAGGATGCCGAGGACAGAGGAATGAGGAATGACTCTGCTTTCCATTGACAGTTGATGAACTTGGACTAGAGCGGGGTTGGCGCAGCTAGACAGAGCGACAGAGCCACCCACCACCGCTACTCTGATCCCCGCATCACGCCGCCGCAATTTGTCCGCGTGAATCCACGCTCGATTCGTCGCTACTTCGACGTACGGCGTATCGAGATTTCCGTATGAGCCGCAGAAAGAATGGATTTATATGTGAAACAGGGCTCACGTAGACATTTAGGTACGTCCTTACGGCAGATGGACGACGGATTCGATTCGTCGCTTCTTTGACGTAACGGCGTATCGAGATTCCAGTATGAGCCGCAGAAAGAATGGATTTATATGTGAAACAGGGCTCACGTAGACATTTAGGTACGTCCTTACGGCAGATGGACGACGGATTCGATTCGTAGCTGCTTTGACGTAACGGCGTATCGAGATTTCCGTGTGAGCCGCAGAAAGAATGGATTTATACGTGAAACAGGGCTCACGTAGATATTGAGGTACGTCCTTACGGCAGATGGACGACGGATTCGACGCGTCGCGGGCTGCGTGTTTGCTGTTCGCTCTGCAGTTCAATCGCCTCTCCTCATTCGTCACTGAGTTCTTAAAAAAAGGGCTCGTGAACGTTGGAAAAATCTCAGCAAAACTAATGGATCGTCGGAAAAGGTTGCGAAACAAAAAATCCATGAAAAACAGGAGCATTTCGAAGTATCCCACAACCTACTTTTTAACCGACGTAAAAAAGAGGGAAAAAAAGTAAAAAGGAGAAAAACGATGAAAAATGAGTCGTCGGCCTGCTGCCATTTCGAGATAGAGACAGCTCATTTTTTCTTGCTCTCCCCCTTTTTTCCGTTTGAAAATGAGGTTGTGAAATACTTCGAAACGTTCCGATTGCTTGTTAATTTTTTGTTACATTCCCCGAAATAAGTTGGGTTTTCCTGTATTCCTATGGGCTAACATCTCAAAATCATCAAGTGAAGAGTGACAACTAGAAACTTGATGAGCACTATCAGGCAGGAACGGGCAAATGTTTCTCATGTGTAAAGGGGATCCAAAGGCTCCAAAATAGATATTCTTATCGTGAAAATAAAATTAACATTTTGAAGAGCATTTCCCAACGAAAGGTACATGTACATGAGGCAAAATAATTTAGGTACTGCTTACAATAAGGAGCAGTATGCAA